TGACAAAATTCAGAAAACAAATTTGCCATGATTTACCCTCTTTTCTAAGAAATCTAATACATTTCAAGGATATCCCCCCACCTGTTATGAACACTCAACACACACATAATACTAATCCCACCAAAACAACAATACTTGGATTTAAAAGTTTCAAATTCATGCCACCAAATCATTAGGGATTTTAAATCAGGTATTATTAACTTTGCAAAAGATTATTATTGGTGCCTTGGTGGACAATTTTGTGTTTATGATAAGCATGTTTTGGAACTTGAATGATCATCTGGACTGGCATTTTTTTTCTTCTCCATTTTTTATCTTTCACCTAATCATAGGAGAGATATTTTTTGGGTTGGATGAGAGCATCACTATGGAGAGAGCGAAGTGGAAGGAAAATATACATGTGGAGGATTGATCTCATTTTATCTTTTTCCTTTTTATTTTCTTTATCATTTTATTTTTCTTTTCTTTTCTTTATCTTTTTTACCCTTTTTATTTTATCTTTTTATCCTTTTTAGTTCCGATTTCACAAGTCAATTCGTGTTAGTGGTCCCCAAACTCTTATGAGAGACTAAAGCTTGGATAATGCCCTATCTAATCATAAAAACTTATAATTGGGAATGATAGTTTGTACCCCTCAATTGTGTCAATGTTTATGTGCATCTACAACTATACATTACATTCAACGTGTTGTACCATATTTGTTCATTTCATTCATTTTCATTTACCTCAGTGCTGCAAAGGCTCCCACCTACGGTGGGGTAAGGGGGGTCGGATGTACGTAGTCTTACCCCTGTACTAAAGCACAGAGAGACTGTTTTTGGATGACACATGGTGAAAATTGCGTCCAAAATTGCATGGACTGACTGCTGCTTCATAACAAAGAAGCGCAGACAGTTTAGTGAGCCATTTTGCTTTATTCCATCATATTCTCGAGCCAAAAAATAATGAATCTTTGGCTCCATTGCAAATGATGAAAATTCTAAGGGACAAAAATGCCATTAAGCCGTTAATGATTTAACGTTAGTAAGATGTAAGTTCACATTGTAACTGCAGGCCTTTTGTTTTCATCAATACACTTCATTCATACTATTATAGCTATGTTGTTTGGAGATTTGACGTTTTTATATTGATCAAATCGGAAATCAATTTAAATCACAACATCAAATTGATATTTCTCTTAGAAAAAATGTAATGGTAAATTGGAAAAATAATTATTTTTATAAATTAATACTATCGTATATTGATTGATAAAGAATAAGAAAAGGTGATGACCTTAAAAAAGAGAAAAGGGGCAAATAAGCCCATATACTAACAAAAAAGGTCAAATAAGTCCATATTTGGAAGGCTCTGTCCGGGCGTCGCCATTTGGGGCGTTCCCGGTGAAATTTTTTGATGAAACTTTTTGAGCATCTTATTCATTGAGTCTAGTTTGCTCATACCAAATTTCAGCTAACAATTCAACCGGGAAAGCATTCAAATGAATTCTTGAAGATAACTGCGTTTTTTACTTCACCGTTATTTTCAAGAATTCATTTGAATGCCTTCCCGATTGAAGTTTTAGCTGAAATTTGGTATGCGTAAACTAGACTGAATGAATAAGATGCTCAAAAATTGTCATAAAAAAATTCCACCGGGAACCACCCCAAATGGCGACCGCAGGACAGAACCTCCTAAATAAGGCCTTATTTGACCTTTTTTGCTTAGTACATGGGCTTATTTGCCCCTTTTCTCCCTTAAAAAATAGCCAAGAAATATTGACAATATTGATTTTTGTAAAAGGAAAAAATATTTAGTTTAAGATATAAAAAATCATATTAATGCTTTTTCTAAACATAGAGCCCATTTGGTATCACAGAAATTGGCTGAATCAGCTGATTGTGGTGAAATTAATGAACTGGCTAAAGTGGTTGGATTGGTTGATTCTGCTGATTTATGAAAAAATTATATTTAAAATATTATTTATAATAAAATAAAGAAACAAATATATGAAAAGTAGTTAAAATGATTCTCTACAAATATATGAAAAATAGTAAGTGCAATCTTACTTTTTTTTATTATTACAGAATTCAGCGCGCAAAATCAAATGTTACATGTTTGGTGAAAAAGTTGACTGATAAGTCTGATAAACTAAAAAATAGGATCACCAAAAATAGGCTCATTATGTTAAAATGTTAAAATATTATCACTATGTTGGGCATAAAATTTCGCGCCTAGCGCGAACCATTGCTAGTCATAGGAGAAGATCTAACCTTCTTAGACTTTGACATTCTACAAGCCCATTGGAGTTGACATTTTCAGCATCTTAAGTCTAAATAAACTATTAAGAATACTGCTAGAAGTCAAACCTTTATAATAAGGAAATGTTTCGTGGCCTAATGTTAGGATTTAAACAGGTAGTTCAAGCAGCAAGTCACCAAAGCCTTTGTCAGAATCAGAGACTTTCTATTCTTCATTCCACAAAACGCCTGAACAGAGGAAAGTCTCCAAGGATGAGTGGGAAAGACTCACACAACAGACTACAAAGAGGGCTTTGGAAGAGCTAGTCAGTTCTCCCGATTTTGGCAAATGGGCTGTTTCTCATGCAGACCGGATCACTTTGACACCCAAAGAGGCTACTACTAATCGGCAGCGAAGATGGTACCATTGGCTTTGAGTTGCATTTCACATATCAGTCTTGTTGTAAAAATAGTCTCTTACAGTTTTACACTTTCACATCCACCTTCTACCTCGTATATTTCAGAATGACCATTTTATGCAACATGCAATGTTGGATTAGAGGAAAACTAACACCTTGTTTTAGTGAGGATTATTGTGGCTCAAATGATGAAATCTGTTTAATTTTCTGATAATGGGAAAAGGATTTGATAACCATTCTAGCCAAATAGCTAAGACGATGATATGGGTCTCATACTCTCACATCAAATTTTAAGACATATGTATTGGAATGCACCTATGTTTTAAACTGAGAAAAGCATTCTAAATTCTAAGTATTGGTATCCGATGTTCATTATGTTCAATTACTGTCATACATCTTGACATAAATACCTTGCGATACAACAAAACAATACCATCAATTCATCAAAGCGTTATTCCCAAAAGATTTCAGGGCCGGCTAACATGAATTTATCGATATCAGCTTCAAAACGAGGAAAAAGACATGAAACAAAATAACATAAGATAAAATGGATAAGAAAAGATAAATACGGAGTACACAACAACAACAACAAAGCCTTAATCCCAAAAGATTTTGGGGTCAGCTAACATGAATTGATCCATGATATTAATGTCAAAAAGAGAAGAACAAACAAGAAGAAAAAATATAAAACGAATAAGATAAAGATAAATCAATATAAGATAACAATAACATAAGAATATAAGAATGATAAAAGGTAAAAAGGATAAAAGAGTATAAAAAGCTAGAAGATAAAAGTAACATAAGAACATAAAAAGACAAAGAAGATAAACGATAAAAGAAAAAGAGAAAGGAAAAATAGAAAAGAGATCAATATAAGATAAAGATAAGTATAAGATGAAAATAACATAGAAAGATAAAGAAATTTAAAGATAAAAGAAAAAGGGAGAGAGAAAAGAGAAAAGGGATCAATCGTCTGCACGAATATGAGTCTTACTTTTTGCTCTCTTCAAAGTCATACTCTTATTAAACCATTGCAATCGAGCCTCCTGCATCTTATCTTATATATGTGCTACTCTCACCTTTTGTCTGATTATCTCATTCATCAAGCGATCTTTTCTGTCGTGTCCACACATCCAACGCAACATACACATTTCTGTCGCACTCATCTTTTGAATGTGACTTTATTTCACACACCAACACTCTATGCGATACATAAATCTGTTGCGATGTTAAGACCAAATTCAATCACATTGATTTTTTTGGTCGAAATATTTTACCAAATTCAACTAGATTATTTTTTGGTTGAAATTAGTTTCATCCTACGCTTTTACTTTCAAATAATCACAACTAGAATCAAATAAGAAAAATTGCCCAATATAGGAGTAAACATAAACATAATTGCACAAATAGGAGTGAAACTTAAAACTTCCTTCAATAGGAATAAACATTAATTTTGTACCCTTAATACCCCTAACCTAGCTCATTCTAAAATATGACTTATTTGATTCTAATAAAATATAAAAAAAATCTAAAATATTTGAAAAAATATATTGAAATAATAAAAATTAAAAAAAATTATTTAAAAAATAAAAAATTTTAAAAATAAATAAAAAATAGATAAACCACATTAAAAAAAATATAAAAAAATTATGCAGGTCTTTGCCGCAACCTTGGCCATCACCCAGCAATGTCACCTCCGATCGGCGGAAAAAATGCCATTTTATGTTAAAACTTCCATTTTTCTTTGATAATGCCATAAAGATGACAGTTTTGCTTTTTGAAAATGCCAAATTTTCTCAAAATCTGCCATCATGATGGCATTTCGGAAAAATGTTGGCATTTTTTTCGTTGGTCGGAGCTGGTGGTGCTGGGAGGCTATTGAGGCGGCGGCAGCCGCCTACATATTTTTTTTTAGTTTTTTATTTTTTAATTTTAATTTTTTAGTTTTTTATTTAATATTTTTTATTTTAATAATTTTGATTTTTATTAATTTTATTTAATACGAAGTATGTTTTATTTGATATATTTTTGTGTTTTTTCATTTTTTTTTACAATTTTATTATCAATTAATGTTATTCCTTTTATGTTTTAATTATTAACGAAAGTTGTTGGAGCTTGGGTAGGGATATACTTGTCTAAACACTAAAGTTACTCCTATTCAAAACATGGTACTCCTATTTTTGCATTTTGCCTATCTTTTACTCCTATTTGGGAATTCTCTCATTAAATAACTTACTTACGAGTAACGATGCGATACTTTTTTTTGCGAGCATAAAACACAAAACTCCGCAAGTCAAGCAACATGAATGCAAGAGTTATTATAGGAAATCATTGGATTGTCTAAGCGAGTGAAAAACTGTCTAACCTTTAACAGTAGTGTATGACGTATCTTGACCTGCGAAGAAATAGGTGTTATTATAGGAAATCATTAAATTGCAAGAATCAAACTTACATGAAGATAAAATAGACAGTAGTTAAAAGCTAAAACATAATCAGCATGGATTGATACATGTTTCACATTTAGTCAAATATCAATTAACTAAATGAAGTGCCATATCCTTATTGACCTTGTACTTTTATAGCCTTTAGTTTCAATGATATGTGAAGCACCATGATGTGCAATTGTGCATTATATTTGCATGATTGTATCACACATAGAAATACACGTGCACATGTATGTGCGTTTAAAAACAAAAAGGAAACACAAGATTATATAAATGGATTCTGAACTTCAAGGTCTTAAACTTACATTTAATTATAAAAGGAGAAATTTTTTTAATTTATTAAAATTAAAAAAAATGAACCAGATAGGGGCGGCTGATTTATGTAATTAAAACTAAGTTTAGTTGTGAATGTATAAGTATACATAAAAAGGAGATCACTTTATATTATAACATTATGTGAATGCGGTAATACCGCAATATAGTTACAGATAGAGTTAATTACCAATATAGGAGTAAAAAGTTTACAATTTGCCAAAATAGGAGTAGTCAGGTAAGTCATGTTTGATAGGAGCATTTTAAGACCAAGTTGACCAAAATAACCTTCTTATATATCACATAGCCGGTGCTGCACTTAAAATTGAACAAACATTGAAGAATGAAGAGTCCAAGTAATATTTGCGTAGATCTCCAGCTACCCTCCCTGGTGCCCTGTGTCACTATCATCTGTAATGCTGCTCGCCTCCACCTCCCCCACACCGGCATCACCATCCATCATCGCCGAACCTCAGTCGCTATCGGCTGCTGCCGGCCACCACCGTTCCCAGCCCGTCACAGCCGCCCAATCTACGCCGCAAGTGTCAATTTTAGGGCCACCATTTCACCTTTGAGCATCACCATCACCGTCACAGCTCTGGCATCATTAATCTGCCATGAAAATGAAATTTTAAATCTGTTATAATGTTGGCAGATTTATTTTGGCAGATTTGCGCAAAACTGCCATAATCTTGGCAAAATATCATTGTTAGTGTACATTTCTGCCATAACTTGGCAAAAATTTATGCCATCATCCAAAAACTGAGAAAATCAGGAAATTTGAGAAATTAAAAAATGGAAATGCGAAATAGAACTCCAGAAATCAACAAATCGAATGCCAAAACTCAAAAACAGAGGAAAAGAAGAAAAATAAAAAAATGGAATAATAGGAGGAGGAAGAGGAAAATGGAGGAGGAGGAGGAGAAGGAGGAGGAAGATGAGATGGAGGATGAGAAGATACCTGATTTGCAGAGAAGAAGTTGAAGGATGTGATTTGAAGGGGAGAAGAAAATGATCGATGGAGAAGGGGAGGTAATGGTGCGCATAAAGGGAGAGAGAAGATGATAAGCCGAAGAGTGGACCGATGGTAGGTTAAACATAGCATGGGTAAGAATGGAATTGAAAAGTCCATATGTTTTGGATAGGAGTAATATGCTCCTATTTGGGGAAGAAAACATATATACTCCTATTTAAGAATTTCTCCCAATTTTTACTCCTATATGAGGCAATTTCTCGTTACAGATATCTTATAAATTATTTGTTACTTTTAAAATTGGCTAAAGGGTCAAATAGGTCTCTGAACTGATTTAAAGTGTTCAATTAGCCCCTTATATAGGAGATTCTGTCCGGACGTCGCCAATTGGGGCGGTTCCCGGTGGAATTTTTTGATGAAAGTTTTTGAGCATCTTCTTCATTAAGTCTAGTTTACTCATACCAAATTTCAGCTAAAAATTCAATCGGGAAGGCAGTCAAATGATTTTTTGAAGATAACTGTGAAGTTAAACAGCGCAGTACATTTCGGAAAATCATTTGACTGCCTTTCCGGTTGAATTTTTAGCTGAAATTTGGTATGGGTAAACTAGACTTAATGAAGAAGATACTCAAAAATTTTCATCAAAAAATTCCACCGGAAACCGCCCCAATTAGCGACGGACGGGCAGAACCTCCTATATAAGGGACTAATTGAACACTTTAAGTCAGTTCAAGGGCCTATTTGACCCTTTAGCCTTTAAAATTCTTGAAGTTCTTTTGGAAATAGTTTAAAAGCTTTGAAGAGGTTTTCAATAATTAAAATTCCCAATAGACAATCCCATGCAAAGTGCGAACATGTGCTTTCTTCTTCGATGCAATGCACTATTACATGTATCTATTGTACTTTTTCAGTCCTAAAAAACTTAGATTTATTTATGAAATTCCCACCATGTTTTTGATCGAATTTAGTGCATCGTTGATTTACTTCGAACCATTAATTTTGACATTGAATGCACAAAATTTATTCATACTTTGCATTGAAAAGTCTCTTTTTATATATTTGGTCCATGTATATACGTGTTTGGTGATTGAGGAGGACGGTTGCACCCTTACCCCTTTGGATACACCACTAGTTTGGTGGGTACTAGCTCTCGAATGTTTGGTCGTGTTCTCTCATTGAAATTAAAATTAAGTGTATGGAATGTCAAGCCACTATGCTGAAACCTACTATACTGAAAGTGCAAAACATTCTCCAATGCATAAACCTAACGTAAAGTCATATTATAACTGTATATACCCTTATATGGCATTTATTTAATACAAATAAATTAAAATGGAAGTGGGCAAATTACACCGCTACCGATTTATTAATTCATCTTATCTTATTAACAAAGTCATTGATTCTATTCACAAAAATCATTGATAGCATGATAGTTTCTTCCAGGTTTAATTAAATATAAATAAATTAAAAGGAAAGAAGATGTATTGCATACTCTGCTATTTTCCAACGTAACTTCTCTCGACAAAATAACTGATGGTAGATAACTTCTTCCACATTTATTTAGTCTAATTTGCATAACGGTGAATTACAAAAACACTAAAATCCATTTTTATGTAAACCGCCCACATTTTGACCAAATTCTGAGTTTCAACCCTTAATTTTGCACGATACCTCTTCAAATGGCTGACTCAGCCCGTGCAAATGCTTTTGAGAGTGAGAAAGTTGGTTCAACACTTTCTTTGACACGTACGTTTGACAGGATGAATCAAAGAATGCATTGGGAAAGTTTTTTTCAGTATCATTTTATAATTTTGTGATGTGGCATAATTTATGAATGTCAAAAGTTAGCATTAGAGATGCTTTAAGAAAACCACAAGTGTAGTGAACTTTTAACTAATTAAATCATTCTCGTAGTATTTATAGTGAAAAATAATGTGGTGAATAACAAAAGATTGTTTACTCTGAATATGACCTCAAGAATATTTTTGTTTGTACTCTTTTCATATTCCAATAAACTCATATATCGAGTAAAACCATTTGAAAATATTCCTAAACTTTCTTCCCCTGTATACATTACTCGCTTGTGTTCAGTTGAGGCCCTCAATTGAGGGGACGTGCAAAAGGAAAATATTTCAGTGTCTGACATAAAGAACAGCCAAATGTATGTGTATACCATATGAAGATGTATGTACCCTCTAAATTTAATTTTATGCATCAATCTATGTGTATGCCACATTGCCACCTTTATATAATTATATCAGTATAGAACTACGTGGTTGCAAGAGAGTAAGAGACCACCATCCCAATAAAATATCACAAAATTTAGCAGAATTAATCCACTTGAAACACTTGCACTTTCCATTTACCTATTTATACAATGTAATGAAAACTTGTACCAAGAGTAATATGTTACGGGGTACTCTACAAATTACAATGTATCAATTGAGTCACTTTTATTTACTTAGTATTACAGTTTTAGGCATCCATCATCATCGTTCGACAATCTAACTCGAATCATTCAATGGGAATGAAAGACGCATAGTTTTTCATCAAGCATTCAATGACAGTCATCTGTTCCCCCCACCCCGCTAAAACCTCAACACCCTTGCAGGTCCCGCCACCTGAGGTAAACCAATCCGGCACGGTAATGTGTATAAGCCCCCGCCACCACCAGCACATGAAACAGCTGGTGACTGTGTCCAGCAATGTCGAACTTTCCTGGCATCCAACGTTCCGGAACGCGCAGCGCATACACAAGGGCACCGATCCCATAAAAAGCACCCATCAGAACCTCATACATAGTCGTATGGAGGGCTTCAGGCTGATCCCAGTATAAAATGAGTTTGTGTAAGATGGGGCCCGCGCCGGAAACACCCATGGTGAAAAACATGGCAGCACGTAAGGAACGGTATTCCGGGTTCTGAAAAACAGGGAGGAGGGAAACCAGGATAGTCCCTATCCCCAATAGGGTGATCAAGGAGAGGTAGAGGTTGCAGAAGAAGGGGTAGCACATAAAGGAGTAGTAGACTGGAGGGTAGAAGGAGGTGGATATCAGTGCAGCTATTCCAGCATAGTCGAGGCGTAGCATGAGGTAAGACATGCGTTCCGAATGGCAAGACAACAAGTGGCACGTGCTGCTCGCTAGCAAGCAAAACATGGCCCCACCTAAGAAGGCAAAGAATGGCCATCTCGTGATCGGTGTGACTGTAAATGGGGCAATCATGTTTGCCAGTTCTTCCTTTACACCACTCTGCATTCAATCAAGTTATTCATAGATAAAAGAAATATCAGTCACAATAGAGATGAAATCATTCTGGATTCAATTGTGCCCCTTTCTTTATAGTAATTAGAGAAATAAAAAAGTTATTTATATTTCATTTATTTACACAGCGAATCAACACGAAAAGCATAAAGGGACGAGTGATGAAGAAATAAACAGGGAAAAAATTACTATTCAAAACCAAGAACTCTCTGTCGCAAAATTATTGGCCGTTTTGACCAGACAAAATTTATGAAAGTAAAAAATATATGTTGAGATTTATTTCCAAAATAGATAAATAATGTGAAGCACGATTGCATTCTTTAAAAGGAAATGAGCAATAATGTTAAGATGCACAAGAAAGGAAAGTTGGTAAATACTTTAAAGATAGTGGAATTGCTATGCTTTGCAGGATAAAAAGCCCACCGGTGATTGCTGAATTATTTAGGTGGAATAAATAACTGAAAGTGTAATTACCTAAAGGATATGGAATATTTTTTGTATGGACAAAAAAAACGGCCAAAAAGACTTCCAGGCTCAAAATTTTCGACCATTTAGAAGTGCTAAAGGTTAGAACTCTTCTACAGAGCAATTTAATCATCTGGCAAAGCTGCTTACTGAACAAAATAACAGCATCTAAAATTATAAAATGCTTGAATAGTGCAACCCTAAGTGGAGGGAGAAGACATTAACATAATTACTATGTGGCTTTACAGAAAAGGGTAAACCTTATCACAACAAAATGCATATGTAAAGTTTTGATAAAATAGTTAGCTGAGCTTGAGAAATGAGTGAGGGTTACCAGAACACCAACATTGGAATGGTTGATGTGAGAAAAACGCTCAGGCAGGCAGTTGGTGAGAAGTTGTACAATATGCCAATTAGGAGGAGATGGAAATGCTGCCTTCAATTCTTCCCGGAGCCGGTGCAAATTAGGCATGTGGGGCAAGGATTGTAGACAGGTTTGCAGATCAACCTTTCTAAGAACATCAGGAAGGTTCTGCAGTGTGGGAAGGTCTACAACCTCTGGAATCTTCATTGCGGTATATATGGTCAATGAGAGGAAGAGAAAGAAACCTACCAAATGACTGCAAAAAATCCATAAAAGCTTACTTTGATTGTAAAAAACTATGGTAGTAAACCCCTTGTTTTGTTGCGAAGGAAGAAAAGGGGAGGGGTGAAGTCTATTTATTTTATTTACTCTTTACAAATATATATGGTTTGTGTTAAAGTCTCACACCGGAAAAGTTTGAATCAATAAAGTGTTATATTAAGATCTGAGCTACTCCTCCTATCAGGTTGACCTTTTAGGATGAAATCTCAGGTCTTAACATGGTATCAGAGCCAAATTGATCCATGGTGTAGGCCCCCTTATGAAAAATGATGACACGATTATAAAAAAAATGACAATGATGAACCGACGAAAAAAATGAATGACGGCGCGATCCAGACGAAGTGTCTGGTCGTGAGGAGGGGTGTTAAAGTCCCACACCGGAAAAGTTTGAATCAATAAAGTGCTATATTAAGATCTGAGCTACTCCTCCTATCAGGTTGACCTTTTAGGATGGAATTTCAGGTCTTAACAGTTTGAATGAAACCTAAGATGAAAAATACTACCTCCATTCTTTTTTAGTTGCAACATTGGTAAATTTTACATTATTCACAATTCACATGCTCTACTATATTTTTTTTAAATATAGTTAAATTTCTCTCATATTAAATTTTCGGAAACTGAAATTTTTATTATTTTAACTAATAATGAATGAAATATATTAATGATCACACTTGAGCGTTTGCAATCGTGAAAATTGGAATGTTGCATATAAAAAAGAATGGAGGAAGTATATAGAAATACATGATTTAACTAAAGATATACTTCCCCCGTTCTTTAATTCTTGCAACGTTGTGATTTTTGCAATATTCATAGACCTTAATTTGGCCACAATTTTCTACTAATATATATAATCAAATTATTACGTATAAAATATTATTGAATTCCTATCGATGTGAATTTCCAAAATATCAACTTTTTATATTGTTTACTAATACATAATTGAATATAATTACAATCAAAGTTGAGTGTTGTCAAACGTAAAAGTCAAATTGTTGCAAGAATTAAAGAACAGAGGATAGTATGAAGTACTTACGTATTATCTAATCTAAAGATTAAGAAATAGAGATAATTTTGGTAGTATACGCAAAAAGCAATTTTCCCTTCCAGGATTCCCAAATCAAGCATGCCCTGAGTAAAGGAGCTTAATTTAATTTTTATGATAAAATGGAAACAAAATCTCTATAAAAAGTTGTCATCCGTCTTTTCTGAAACGCAGCGCCTTTATTTTGTTTCTTTTTGTTTGAAAAGATAAAAACAATGTGAGCCACTTAGTCTTATCTCTAATGTTAGTTAGAGCAGCAGACGAATCAGCAACCAACAAACATCTATGGCCATCTGAACTATGTTGCCACTAGCATTACATATTGCAAAAAACACCTCCAAACTGTTATACAGATTAGAATTTGTAAGGATATGCAATGTGGAGGGCTTTGGAGAGGATGCTTTAGAGGGGTTAGTCTATATCTTGGCATACATTTGTGTTTTTATAAAAACTGGAAGATTAACATAATATAGGGCATGTGGCCGTTAAGTTTGTTCCCCGAAAAAGCAAGATATGTGGTCATATACCATTTCTGTCACTAAAGTTCACTTTTAGAAACTTTCTAATTATCAGAATATAAACTAAGCCCTGCAAAGCTTCCCCTCCAAAACTTTCTTCCCAAATAAACCCTAGGAAAACATGTCTGAAACATAGTTACTTATTTCTTATCCATATCTTCAATCCTATCACAGAGTTTGCACGTTAGATTGGGTATTTAAGGAGCGTGCCAGGTATTTTGCGGTGAGTGGTGCTAAACCTTGGAGAGGCTTGTGTCTTATGAGGGAGACTGAGGCTTTGTGTGCATACAAGGTGTTGAGCTGAATTAAGGAAATTGGATGGGACGTAATTGATATGGATTTTGATGCTTTGCAGGTGGTAACTACAATAAACTTTGGATGAAGACGACTCTTTTTGTGGTGTAATTGTTGAGTATTCGAAAAAGTATGTCTATTTTTACTAGTATAATAGTATTGTTCTTATTCATATCAGGAGATCTACGGATTGCCCACACTTGGCTAAGGTAACAATTTCTAAGTCTGGTTATTTTTCCTCCTTTTATTTTGTATGCTTACAACTCTAATTTGATTGCGGATGATTAATACTCCGCAAGAATCTTCCCAAAAAAATCTTCCATCCTATTAGTAATGAATAATACTTGACATTAAAAAACAAAAAAAAAAACAGACTGATTGTTCATGAGGTGTGAAGTGAGGGTGTCTTGAAAGTCAACTATCAAGAGAATATGCTTCGATTCTGAAGACTTATATGATAATTCAATATCATAAATGATTACTGTAATGAATAATAATACCTGTAAAGACTAAAGTCTTTCAAGAATTCAATGGAAACCACGAAACTAATGCCACATGAGTTTCAATTTATAATTAAAAGCTGAGAACACAAAGAGGGATTCAAAACCTTACGTCCAAACATTGAGGGTCTCATTGTGAATGGTGAACACGCTGAGCAAGGCTTGCTTCAAAGGCCATTCAGAGCGATAATGACCAATAATAAACTCGTTATCCTTCAAATACCCAGGCAATGAATGATATTCTACCAACTGGTACCTCACCTTCTGCCACAACCTCTTCCCTTTCCTTTCCTTCGAACCACACCCGTTTTTATCCTCATTTGACCCACAATCGGCCCTTATAACCGAACGATTCCTTTTCTCCTTCTCCATCCTATTCCGAACTGCCATAATTCATCCCAAAACAACGCAATCCAGGTGAGACAACTAAAGATAAATGTTTGCAATGAAATCCACAAAAAAATTAATTCAGATAGCCGATCATGCAAAGTTTGAGGAATACAAATTCGATACAAACTCGAAATTGATGCTCAAGAAATTCAAGCAAAATGGATTGATAGAAGAAATGCACCTCCACAGTAAGCAGCCGGATATCAATTTCAGAAATCTAGCGCGTATCCCTGTCTTCCTGCTGGAAAAGGATACGGTACTAACAAGGAGGTAAGAGGACGCACTGTTATCCTTTCTTTTTAGAACAAAGTGGCTTAAATTGATAATAAAAGATTCAGCAAGGACAAAAGAGATAAAAGAAACACCTCCAATCACCGACCAGAGCAATATGATTCGCTTATCCTGTAGTGGGTCTATATGAGCCTAACGTGTATGACAAACAAAACAGCATGTAGTTCGAAGTAAAAACACAAACCAACTAAAACACAAATAGAAATAATTTTCCAAACCCTAGTCGCACAATTCCTCCATGGCGGCGGTTCAGGAGAGGCACGGATCAACATTTCTTCGCCTTCTTTCGCCCGTAGGAGGTCACCGCCAACGGCCCTGACTTCTTCCGATCCAGAATCTTCCCCCCATGGGTGGCGCATGTTTGGATCTTCCTCATCCCCATCCTGCCGCAATCCGTGTGTCTTGACCTTGTTCGCAATCTCTGCCATATAGGCGCGGCGGGGCAAGAGATTCCGCTGCCATCGGACAGAAATTGCTTCATCAAGGCATCTCCCAAAGTGGTGGCCTGCTCTTGCTAACCAATACCTGCGTTCGCTCAAGGACCCCAACACAATCCTCTGGATTTGAAAATTGCTGCTCCGCACAAAGGCGGAGAAAAATAAAACTCACATGGAGCAAGAAACCCTATCAGACCTCGGTTAACTACAAATATCTTCTAAAAAGGGAAAATTCAATAAGACTGTTTGGTTTGACATAATCAATCAGATAATTTTATAATGTAATGAGCATTATATATTGATTACATATTGATTCAAGTAGGATGCTTGTTATGCAGGGGCGGAGCCAAAGGGGGGTCAGGATGGTCAGCCGACTCCGCTGAAAGTTCAAGAATGTAGAGCTCTGAAATACCTTCGATTTGATATATTATGGGTCCCGTAACTCATTACGAGTAAAAAGTTATGACTTCTGAAAAAATCAGCACCATCTTAACTTGAAATAAGCAAAATTTGATGTGTGACGTTGATTATATTCTTAAATTTAAAAATAAAACACCTTATTCAGTCATTAGTTGTGTGAACATTATGATACATTACATATATATATCAATACATTAACTGAAAAGGGCTCATTAAACTATCATTTATCTCAACTACATATGAAACATTTAATTCAAATATTGTATAATAATTATCGATCATTTTGATACTGTGTATAATTAAACTCCGACCCCCCTTACACACTTTTCTGGCTCCGCCCCTGTTGTTATGTCATTTTATTTTAAATCATAGGGGGTGTTTGGATCTGATTCTCAAAACTGATTCTGCTCCTTCAGGGAGCAGAAGCAGAAGCTGGAGTGTTTGGGAGAAATTCCAGAAGCACTTCTGGAGCTCTAATTTACTCTCAGAATCAGTTTTTTAGAAGCTGGGAGGTACCAGCTTCTGAAAACTGATTCTGATTCTGCTTCTGCTTTTAAAAAAGAAGCAGAAGCAGAATCAGTTCCAAACACCCCCATAATATAATTGACATTGCATACATGAAAGTCATTACTTTTACAAGTGTAATAAAATTTACATTAAAAAAGTATTTGAGATTACTACTTATTACATGTCCTCAAAATGAAGTAACAATCGTGAGGAAGATTCAACCATATGGCCTCATCATTCAATGGTAGTGCCCACATCACCCAACGACTTCCAACATGCCCTACCCTTTTACCACCATTACATTTGAAAGTTTATCCAAACACAATATTAAAATAGAGATTTTATTCCATTACATTACATTTTGTATTGCGTTACGCACTACATTCCATTCCATTGCATTATGTCATATCAAACGTAGCTTAAAAGTAAGGAATTCGTAAAAGTAATGCAAAATTATTCACATGCTTAAAATATCACACTTTATTGTCATGATAATTATTATGCTTACTTAGGAAATAAAAGCATAATGCTCCTATTTGAAATTCCAAATTTTTATCCGCATGACATTAATGGGGCGGTTACAAGCATGAAGAATATTTTTATATTTTTTATATTAAACTATTAATTATACCCTAAAGAAAATGGTTTCTCGTGGTTGTACAAAATGTCCGTTGGGGTGGTTGTGATTTAGAAAAAAATAACTATTGAATAATGGGGCAGTTATGGGCGAAGAAATTACCCCTTGAGGTATCTCATTGGTTAAACTTCAAGAATTAAGTAGAATTTGATATTAATGTTCAATGGCGCAAGCGCTTCTTACCACTCACTATATACACATTTTGAACGCACTTCTATTTTTTCTTATACATCTAAATCACTTGTGTGAGCACAAGCGAAAGAAGTCCAATTAAATCGACTCTTACCTAATTTCTCTTGTGAATGCTTTGAGTTCGAGTCACTTGCATTTAAAATTGTGGAAATCTTGAGTTCGAGTCACTTGCATTTAAAATTGTGGAAATCTTGAGTTCGACTCCTCTTGTGAATTAGCTCAGTAATATGCTTAATCAACTACCAAAATTGTTAAAGCAACAATTCAATAACTTATCAAGTGTACATGCTCAGCTCCCTTACGTACTAAGTAGCACCGGGACGGAAACGGGGACGGAAACGGGGACGGGGAAACCCTAAACTCAAAATATCAAGATACGGGTACGGCAAGGAAACGTCGAACTAAAAATTAAAATTTTACTAGTATAAGTAATGTTTACATCCAACAAGTACAAAATAATCCAACAAAACATATGTCTTTGTTATAATGCATCATACATGCATAATAAATAAAACGAAAAAGTAAATGTTTCATTCAGTGATCAACACACTCTCCAATTCTGGCTCATCTAAGGATAAATTAGCAAGCGCCAAATAGCCCATATCCTCCAAATTGCCAAACTCATCTCCTCCAACATCCCACATCTTCGTCTTCTCATCTGTGTACTGCTCAGAACTCCTTGACAAGAGTCGGAGGTTGTTGTGCACAAACACCAAATCCTCTGCACGTTTAGGAGTTAATTTGTTCCGTCTAAGTGAATGAATAAAAGAGTAGGTACTCCAATTACGTTCACAAGCTGATGAAGATGTAGGTTGGCCAAGAACTCTAAAAGCAAGCGATTGGAGGATTGGTGTTTGAGCACCAAAGTTAGCCCACCAACTTCTAGGCTCTGTGTTTCCCCTCTTCGAAAGAGATGTAATATCAGCAAAAGGCCCCGTCTTAAGTGAAAACGAAGCAAACTCATCCAAAACTTTGTCATAATCATCACCATTTGGATATAGCCTTCGGAAGCATTTCATCCTTTCTTGGGAGATCTCACCATCTCTATGAGGAGGGACCCTAGCGGGATCCGCATCAAGCCAAACTTCACTGTAAAACCTATTAAAAAATAAGAAACACCAAACTTTAATAATTAACTAATTAATTAAATAAATAAAATAATATATAATGCGTAACTAATAATGAATACCTTGGGTTCAATGAGTGTGCTAGACAGTGAAGTGGCGTAGAGCTCTTCCCCCAACGTGCCACAAGAATGCCATATACTACTTTGAAGAAAGCACTATCTTCATAAACAGATATTCCTTCATGCTTATAGATTTCAACTTTGACTTTTTCAATCATGGAATCCCACATCTCATACACCAAATGAAGACATGCCTTATCAGTATCACATGCTCGAATCATACTGTAGATAGGATCGGAGAAAGCTAGAATATAATCAATTTGATCCCACCAATACTCACTTAAAATCTTCTCCCTCACAAACCTTGCTTTTCCTTGGTCATCCTCACGGTATGATGCCCATTCATCACTCAACACCATAGCCTCAAGACCACGTCTAATAAGCTTAAACCTCTTAAGCATCACAATTATAGAAGCAAAGCGGGTGTCCGCCACAGAAAGTAATTTAAGTGACATGAACTTGTTGAACATGGATAACACCATAGTATGATTCATGATGAAATTTTTTATATGAATAGCATCACCATGGATTTCAGTGATCCAATGACATTCATCATAAACTTCCGTGTTGCTCTCCACATTCCTTGCGGCACATATGTTCTTTAAAGCAAGATTTAATGTATGCACAACACAAGGTGTCCAATAAATGTGGGGGTACATACCTTCAATTATTTCTCCTGCACCTTTGCAATTTGAAGCATTATCAGTGATCACCTGCACCACATTTTGATGACCTATCTCATCAATTACTTCTTTCATCAAGTTAGCAATGAATTCTTTTGATTTAAATTCACCCATACAATTCACTGCTTTAAGAAACATGGGACCACTTCCAGAAGTTGCCATAAAATTAATTATAGGTCTTCTTTGAGGGTCACTCCAACCATCAGTCGCAATAGCCACTCCTCTTTCTGGCCAAGTAGCTTTTAGTGGTTGCAATAATCTTTCAACATTGGCCTTCTCTTGTTGAAGTAAAGTAGTCCTCAATTTATTGTAGCCCGGGGGAACATAACCACCTAAATTGTGATTTGCAGCAAAAGAAAACGCTCTCACATAATATGGATTCCTAGCCAGATTAAATGGCAACCCTCCTGTAAAAAACATCCTAGCAATTTCTTCATCTAATCTCGCTCTAGCATCCATATCAAAAGCTTTCTCTAAAGGACCACTACTAGCTTTTCTTTTATTAGGTAAACTAGTGTTACCTATCCAATCCATCTGTGACCCCGCCATAGGTAGAGGAACATCTCTAGGTGCAACACTTTTTTTAATTTTATCAAGTTCTTCTTCTAACTTTCTCATCTCCCGCAAATCATTAGACTGGACTTTCTTACAAATAGCAATTCCTTGCTTTGAAATTTGAAGCAAATGAGCTCTTACTCTAGAATAAGATCCCTGCTTAACGTCATTACAGAAATTACATTTAAATTTCCATGTCCCTCCCGTATCACCACTTTTACCTAATTTGGTAACGTATTTCCATAAAGGGGCGTTATCCACACCTGCAGAAGAATTCACTGACCCACTTGCACCATCACTAGAAACACTACCAGTACCTTCCATAATTAATGCTAAATATAGGAGCACTTACTCGGACTCAGAGTCTCAAAAAATAGGAGCACAGAGCACTTACTCAGACCCAAAAGTCAAAACAATAGATTTAAGGCAGAGCTCCTTTAAAAAGTAATCCACAGCCGTCCAGTGTAGAACCAACGCAAGAAGCAGCACCGCAGCAGAACTCCAGCGCGTTCCAGATTTCCAGTCTGCGTCTCCCTTCGTCGCTTCAGCAGTCTACAAGTTCCAGAGAGGATAAAGATCGCAAGGCAGCTCCAGCGAACTGCGCAGGTTATTTTCTAAACACTAAACGCGACGCGAAGTCCCGATGTATTGCGCAGCCAATGATTGACCGAACTGTTTTTTTTTTTTATAAAATTAAGCAGAAACGTAAAGGCCCACTAATTTTCGCGTTTCCGAAACGTTTCCCGACCCGGCCCAGCATCCCAAGAGCGAAGAAACGTATCCCGGCGTTTCCCATCCGTTTCCGGCCGTTTCCGGGCGTTTCGCGTTTCCGAAACGTTTCCGGGACGGGAACGGCACCCAAAACGACGTTTCCGTGCATCCTAGCTTACGTATGCCCTAGATGGCTGGTCCTAGGGAAACCCTAGGCTGTGAGATCTGGTCTTCAAGTCTTCTCTTATTCAATCAGCGAGAGTTTTGAAAGATGATGATGCTCTTTAGGCATTGAAATATATAGTTAACGATTTTTCTATGCTTTTGCTCTTTTTTAATTTCTACTTTCAAGGGCTTTGGTCCGGCGTCTTCTTTGACCGAGAGTTTTATCCGCTTCATGTGAGCGTGTGATACGTTTTTCTCCCAGCAATATCTACATGTTGTGGGTTTCTCATCGGTGTAATTGATCTAAGTGTAATCAATCTCGTGTGTTTTCGTTGTTCATGGTTAGAAAAGCTTTTTCAACCTTGTTATTCTGAGAGTTCAATTATTCGCCCTCCACCTGAACCACCGTCTCGCTCTGAGAAAAAGAAAGCTCTCAAGTGAATCTCATTTTTTGTGGCTGGTCAAACCGATGATTCAGATGATTTTGACTCGGTAGGGTTTCCTTTGTTGATTGTTGGTCAAATCAATTATCTCTTTCCGGTGGCTGGTGAAGCTGGAACTTTTATTTGTAATTTTTTATTTTTTATTTGGAGTAGCAAGTGTAACAAGACCTTTAGACTAGACTACATTATTGCAAGGTTAACGATCTGGAAGGATTCATGAGACATTTTCTTTTCAAAATCTCATCCCATTGTAGTCGTAGACTATTCATTTACTTGTTTCTTTGTTATCATTTGATATGAATAAGTTAGTTATTTGATTTTAAAAAAAAATGTCAAAACACCTTTTTTGGATTAGGTCACACTGTATGTTGTCACAACTAGCTAAAAGAATACATTTTTATTTATTTTATATTTGTAAGCTTTGAGTGACGCAAAAAATTTCAATAGTTATTTGATAGAAACTCAATATTTAGGGGGAATTGGACTTTGCACCACATGTTTGGGATGATATTTGACTTTGCATCCCATTTTAAAAAAAAAAATTATTTTGCACCCCATTTCACTTCAAAATCATTTGACTTTGCACCACATTAAAAAAATTTCCTTCACAAATGTTGTATGATAGGGTGCAAAGTCAAAGGTTTTTTTTAAATGTGGTGCAAAGTCCAATATCACTCCAAAAGTGGAGTGCAAAGCAATATTTACTATTATGACAAGTATTGTGACTAATTAATATTGCCTCCGTCCAAAAAAGATTGACCAATTTGATTTTTTTTGTCAATGATGTTAAAGTTTAGACAATAGTTTTAGATATTAGATTTGTATATAATTTATAAATTTTATGCTATTATGAAAGATTTTTTAATAAAGAATATGCTCATATAATTTTCATATTTTAAAAAAAATGTATTAAAAAATATCATTGGTAAAAATTGACCACCATTAATCGAGAAAAGTCAAATTGACCAATCTTTTTGGGACGAAGGAAGTATTAAAAGACACAAACATTTGTCATAAACTATTCAGAATCAAAGTAGTTTATCGTTTTCAATGATATGGATGGTCATATTTTTTGCAATTGTTATAACGTTTTCAAAACTATTCAGGCCGTGTGTCACATGCAGGGGCGGAGCCAGAAAAATGTGTGAGGGGATCGGAATTTAATTATATACAGTATCAAAATGATGGATAGTTATTATACAATATTTGAGTTAAATGTTTCATATGTAACTGAAATGAATGGTAGTTTAATGAGCATTTTCGGTTAATGTATTGATATATATGTAATGTATCATAATGTTCACACAACTAATGACTGAATAAGGTGTTTTATTTTTAAATTTAAGAATATAATCAACGTCACACATCAAATTTTGCTTATTTCAAGTTAAGATGGTGATGCGATAAAAAAAAAGTTAAGATGATACTAATTTTTCCAGAAGTCATATTTTTTACTCGTAATGAGTTACGAGACCCATAATATATCAAAACGAAGGTATTTCAGAGCTCTACATTCTTGAACTTTCAGCGGGAGTCGGCTGACCACCTGGCTCCGCCCCTGGTCACATGGATGGTCATATTTTTTGCAATTGTTATAACGTTTTCAAAATGCATGTTTTCAACAACTAATTACTCAACTACACCCAAAGTTTTAGGCTGTCTAAAAGTGCACTTTTCAGCAGCTAAAAACTCGATCGAAAATATAATTTTTGGGCTGTCAAGATAGGCATTTTTCAGCAGCTAATAACTCCACCAAAAAGGCAAAAATATAGTTTTAGGCTATAAAAGAAGACACTTCTCGACAACTAATAACTCAACAAGAAAAATAGTTTTAGCTACCAAAGAAAGACATTTTTCAGCAACCATTAACTAAAAAAAAGTCAAATTACTTGCTAAGGGAACCATACTTATTCTTCTAATATGCAGAAGGGAGAATTTGAGTTTGCACCCCACTTTTTGGGTGATATTAGACTTTTTGGGTGATATTAGACTTCGCACCCCAATTTGAAAAAACTTTGATTTTGCACCCCAACACATAACACTTTGTGAATAAATTTTTCAAATTGGGGTGCAAAGTCAAAGTTTTTTCAAAATGGGGTGCAAAGTCCAATATCATCCAAAAAGTGGGGTGCAAAGTCAAATTCCCCTATGCAGAACATAAGTTGATTATGAGCTTATGACTACCATACCTTTTCCAATTTGCAATGAAGAGAAATTCCAATAGATTGATTCATAAAGTAACACATACAAATACGAAGGTTTGGAATGTAAGATTTATTAATGATTCTAAATTCCAAGGAATACAGGCTGACACAGTTTTTTGTGAACATAAAACACTAAACTCCACAAGTCAAGTACTCAAGCAACATGATTGCAAGAGAGTTAAGCAGCGCGTCTATCAACCACTCTGGTTTTCGAAAGATGAAAGAAACTAATTTATCCCTCTGTCTTGGGAGGGCCTTTCCACTTGAAATTGTCCGCATATGATTTAACCTACATGAATAAACTGACCCGCTAAGCAATGAAAAATATTGAGAAAAATATTTATGAATCTCAAGGCGAGTGAAAAACTGTCTGACCTTTAACAGTGGTGTATGACGTTTTTTGACCTGCGAAGAAATAAGTTTTATTATAGGAAATCATTAAAGGTGCAAGAATCAAACATACATGAAGATAGCTTGACAAAATAGACGGTAGATAAAAGCTACAACATAATCAGCATGGATTGATACATGTTTCACATTTAAACAAACATCAATGAACTAAATGAAGTGTCAATTCCTCGACCTTATACTTTATAGCCTTTCGTTTCAATTATTTGCCAAGCACCATGACGTGCATTGTATTTGTATCACACATAGAAATACATGTGCACATCTGTGTGTTTAAAAAGAAAAAAGGAAACACAAGATTATACAAATGTGCACAAGACTAAAACTGGTCTCTGAACATGCAGGTTTTACTTAACTTCAGTTTGGTGGTGGATACTAGCTCCCGAATGTTTGCACGTGTTTTTTCACTTTAAGGAAACCACACGTGTAGTGAATTTAACTAATTAAATCATTCTCGTCGTATTTATAGATAAAAATGAGGCAAATTACAAACGATTATTTACTCGGAATACAACCTCTTTAAGATTTTTTTTTGTTTTTATTCCTTTCACATTCCAATGAAACTAATATATTGCGTACAATCATTTGAAAATATTCCTAGACTTTCTTCCCCTATATATATTACTCACTATTATTGTGTTGGTAAATAATGCATGCTAGTGTTCAATTCAGAGGGTTCGTGCAAAGGGAAAACATTTCAGTGTCTGACATAAAAGAAGAGCTAAATGCATCTGTATACCTTTTGAAGATCTATGTACCCTAACAACTTAATTTTATGCATCAGTTTATATGTATGTGATAGGTAACTATCTGATTCACAGTGAATTCAAGAAATGAAAGATGGAGGAAAGAATGAACTCAATAGCCAAACGATTAACAGAAAAGAAAGAGAAAGTCTCAGGCAGTTAAAGAGTGCCAACCCTCCAGTCCCAATCCAACAAAATAATACCAGCCTACCCCCCTTTACAACTATAGCTTCGTATTTATACTATTCCACCTGGTACCTTTCTTACACATCAGCAGCTATTTAATATTCCCCTTCCCCCTCCTAGAGTATACTTTGCTATAGTAAGTAATATCCTTATGATTATTAATAGGCTGTCTCCCAGTGTCTCTGTCAGTATGCCACCTTTATATCACTAGAAATAAGTGTTTGCAAGTGACAACCACCCAAACAAAATATCATTGGCAAATATGTAATCCTAACTGAAACCTTGTGAAGATAGTCTTCATTTTATAAATCCTTCATGGTAACATCAAATTGATTTTTACCCTAGCTCATTCAAGTATCGTCATTGGATTTACCTAAGAAGCATTCAAACACAACAAAATAGAGAATAGAGGAATATTAACAGATAGCCAGTACCGTGTAATCCCATCCATGTCTTGCAGCAAAAGCTTTTGCAGCTTCTTCACTATCGAAGTTCAATGCAGCATCACCGACATTGGCATATGGGTCCCCAGTGGAAGTCCAGCCCATCAATGGATTTTCCCATCTGCATTTATGATAGTGTAAAAACAAAGAAAAATGTGATCTTTAAGCGTGTATGTTAGCAATATAAACTCTTTGTACTTAAGTTTTCAGCATTCAAAATGCAGAGTAGTGGGGTTAAGTATTGAAAAATGAATCGTACTTTTGAGTAGATAAAAAGTTGATTTTCCATCTTCCAACTTTTCCTGATCCTTGTTGAGTAGCAGTCCGAGCAGGTGAGAAAATAACAACCTAGTAAATACAGTTTATGAAATAACAGCAAATGAGGACTCAAATCCAAGCAAACAAACAATGAATTTTTTGTTTTGAACAAAGCTGATTTTTTATTTTTTTATACTCTTTTGTGGGAAAAGGCAACAACTGGCAGCATGGATGTCAGCACATCTCGCAATTAAACGTTAATAAGTGCACAACTTCATAATTTTCAGTTCCCCGCATCATGAACAATATATTTTATGTCAAGCCAGGAAATCATGTTAATAATCCGAGTAATTGTTCAGGTTCCGTAAAATCCACACCCGGTGGACTAATAAATACTTAAATTGTACTTGGATGAAATACGAGTCGTTAATATTCCGATAAGGGAAACTCTAAGCTAGTATAGAAGAAAAAAGCAAACGGCCGTCCCAAATATGTCCCATTAAAGCCCTAGGATGAAACCATTGAAAACATATATTCAAGCAACACCAAAATCTACCCGGCTAGATATTCGATTAAGATCAAATTCAAACAAGAAGTATAACAAGAAAAAGAGACTGGATTTACATACCCTCCTACGAAGGTGTTCTTGGGGTATACCAGAAACCATCCCGATCTCTCCGCGCTGGATCTCCGCAAGTGAGTCCGAGGATGCAGAGAAGGCCCTCGAAAGTGAAGTCAGATTGATCCGATAGGTCTGACATGGTTGAGTGGCTAACCGTTGTAGGATGCTCGCCATTTCCTGGAGGCTGGAGCTCAGGTGCAATCGCTGTCCCGGTACAAATCGCTCTTACCATTTTGATGCCTTTTAGAATGTATACTGCATACAGATACTCAGTATATTTGAAAAAATTTTAAAAACAAAAATTATACTCCTTAATTTAAAAATTATACGTACTACATTCGTCCTAAGTAGCACGGAGACACTAAACGTGAAACGGGAAACGGGAAACGGAAGAAACGTAATTTCTAAAAAATATAGGACACGAAATGTGGAAGAAACGCGCAAATATGATAAAATATAAGGATATATTAATAAATATTTTTTAATATATGTATACAAATTTTTTCATATGCACATGTTTTTTCATATAATTTGTTTAGTAACCAAATAATAAAATCACTCTACATGTTCAAATTTAGATATTATTTCATATTAGTACATAATTAAACATAAAATGTACGGAGTAATACATTTCTGCAATACACTGCGTTATGAAATGTAACAAGTGTTGTTGCTGAGAAATACCACAAAAATTCACTACTAATAAAAATTCCACTGGAGATCTTTAAAGAAGAAGAAAATTGGAATCCAAGGTTTCCGAAACGTAGTGAAACGAGTTTCCAAATTTTTCTTAATTACGGAAACGGCCCCGAAACGGGAATTTGAAGTTTCCGAGTTTCCGAAACGCTTCCAAGTTTCCGAAATGTGGAAACGTGAGCCATAAAGAGTTTCCGTGTTACATAGCATTCGTCCCAAAAAACTATGTTATTTCAAAAAAATTGAATCATAATTTTGATTAGAATAATATTATGGAAGTTATAAATTTTGTATTTTTATGAACATAACTTTAACAAAGAACATTTTCATATAATTTTTATATTATAAATAATTTCCAATAAACATATATAGTAGGTCAGAGTTTTGAAAATTTGTTGGGACGGAGGTAGTAGTTATACACCTATTACAATATGATTAAGTGTACATATGTGTAAGCTCACCATAAATATTTATAGATAAATACATAGTTGGGCTATGTCTAATGTATATTTATAATTAAATAAGAATATTATTAAACAATATTTTCATTAAAACCTTATTAGGTAAGGCTCTGTAGGGGAAACCTAATGAAAGAAAAAGATTACATAATTCGTTAAATACACTTAAGCAATGTTGCTTCATTACAAATATTATCGAGGAAAATCATGTCAGGTAAAAAGGGAACAAACCATTGACAATGAAAAAAAATAACAACACCTATTTTCTCCCCTGATGAGGAGTTTTACAACATCGGCTTCCAGTGGTGCAACCAGCTCGGGGATGTTGCAGGGCACATGAAGAGAAAAGGATAGTTTTCGACAACTCGGCAATGCGGACGGCTTGCTGTGACCCTGGAATTCAAGTCTCCGACAAGACGGACGATGGAAAGGGGAAGTGCCGAAGAAAGTACACAAAATTGCACATAAAAACGTGGAGGGGAAGAGTGAGGTTGTTTTAATTATTCTTCCGTTTAAAATATTGGAAATCAAATGAGAATAATAAAGAATGGTCCATTATTAATTTGTCATAACAAATTGAATTTGTGATGCAACACTTCACTACATAGTGTATGATGGAGCTTGGGCCATTAATCCCTTATAAACATTGAAAAATGGACTTATGAAACTCGATCACTCACGTACATTGGCCTAGCACACACTCCTGCCATTGAGTCTCGTCATATGAGTGTGGTGATTAATAAGCTCCAATGTAAATGTTAATATTGCACACTCTTGATCCATACGAGTTCTTGCATGCTCTTACCTCTTCCTAGTGCATCACACTCCGTCCTCGGGGGATGAGTCACTCGTTCAAAGTTATCACCTGTGGGTTTGAAATTTTAACCTCGAGCGGCGAGTTAAGCTCTTGTTAGGGGCCTAGAGCCACGCTCTTTCGAGCAATTTTGTCATTTAATTAGCATTCACATTTCCCGAAAGGGCTGATATATGTAAGTTCTTTGCGGGTTGGATTATCCGTTCGAAGCATTGCTCCCGGATTCAATCTTTCTTTCGGAGGCTATGTTGAGGCCTAACTTGGAACTTGATGCCACACTTTTTGGGTACTAAGTCCGACTCACTTACTCACTGAGTCGCGGTTCGATACCAAAGTCAAATGTCTTGTTCTACACTTGTTATTTTTATGTGTAGGTACGACTGAAGAAAGACGACTCTACTCCACTCGCTTCAAGGAGTAAGGGACTGAGGGATTTACCGCCTTCAAGGAAACAAAGGACGAACCTGATGAGTCTGTGCCCGACGAGAAGAACATTTCTAGCCATTCTCTTCGCATATGGTGACCATTTTAATAAAAGACGAGGATTTTATCCTTTGCTTTATCTTGGGGGCGTCGATGTACTCTTTTTTCCTTTATTGGTATTTTTCCCATTGGGTTATTTCCCAATGAAGGTTTTTAATGAGGCACCTTCCCCTCTCCCCGACATGGACAAGCTAAGGGCGGAGATCGTCTGGTCTCGAAGAAATGCAGTTGTCTTGGGCTACTCCCTATTAGCCGAATCTACTACTTGACTAAGGGAGTGGGGGACTCGTGATGGGGTTATGGGACTATGCCCAAAGCCTGATCGGACCAAGCCCCCGAATTTGAACACGTAAGTCCAATCCCACGACTTGAGCCATCAGGCCCAACCCCGAGCTTTGAGCCTACCTACCAGCCCAGCCAGGAACCTACCAGCCCGGCCGACCTGTCAGCCAGGAAGAGTAACGGTCAAGCAATTAATGCGATGTTTAATTATGTATTAATGTTGTAATTAATTAGTCATTATTATTTATAGTGGTTACAATTTGTAAATGCCTATAAAAGGCAAGTCGAATTCCAAATGACAAACACTCTACTTCTGGCAACTAAAATCCTTGAGCACGTTTCTTATTCATATACTTTTTTTATTCCTGCCTGAGTGTCTATCGTAGCTGTCATAAAAGCCTACTAACGTCCATTATTGGACTAATAACAAATATAATTCTCAAAAATAATATGTAGATATATATATTTTGCTAGAACATTAGTCGAATAAAACTTATGAACAAGTGCCTCGAGAATTTTTGTTTTGATCCGTCTCACTAAAATTTCACATCTTTTTTTTGTCCGTCCACTACGATTATTTCATACTACATATCAAATTTGGTAAAATCAGGGTTACGTATTCTTACTTTATCAAAATAATATCAACCACGAAAACTCAGTTTTCTTAATAACTGCATCACTTCCTCATGTCCTAGTGTCAGACTGTCAGTGGAACGGAGGTAGCAATAAGATTAAGTTTTCTCCTAAAGTAAACTTTTTGTCTTTGTCTCGAAAAGGTTTGCCATATTGCCTTTTCTTGGTCAATGATGACAAACTTTGGACAATAATTTTAAGTATTCTATTTTGATATAATTAATAATTTTATACTTTTGTGAAAATATTTGAATAAAGAACACTTTGATATAATTTTCATATTCAAAATAATTTTGCATTAAAAATATCAGTGATCAAAGTTTATTGTCACAGTCCAAGAAAATTCAATTTGACGAATTTTTTTAAACGGAGTAACGGATCATTTCCTATATTTGTAATTTTTTATGATGATTATATTTATTTGTAGAATAAGGGAAAAAAATAATAGATAATATGTTTATAACTATATTCTTAATGTACACAATTAAGAATCTAAATTTGATTTCCTAATAAATTTACCATAGAGAATAATAATATTCCGTATTAATTAAATGTGTGTGTATATAGAGACTAAAACAAAGGTAGTACGTAGTAACATGTTTAACGGTTACATTTGTAAAAGTTCCCAATTTTTGATGTATCGGTTTCTCATTAATTTTAAAACAAAACTTGAAGACTATAGGATCAGAGTATATTTTACTGGAAGAGAGTAGTATATATGCATGGTAAGATATATGTGTTGATTCAAAGTATATGAGCAACTATTTAATTATGCAGAAGACTAGAATCAAAGAAGCAAAGAAACTCTCATAATTTATTGATCAATAAAATAAGCCTTTCATAGGCATTACAAAGCTCAACTAATATTGCATGTAATCCTCAACCAATTCCTAAGTTTGGGGCATGTCCACACGTTTGAGTAGAGGATAACAACACTCTCAAAAAACTCCTACAAATAAGTTAACAATAAAAACCTATTAACTAAATATAATAAGGAATAAATAATAAGTTTCCAAGTAGGCATGGCCTTGAACAATTCTGTATGCAAGCTCGAACAATTCTGTATGTAGGCTTGTTTTTAAGAACTAAACAAAGTTCATGAAAAGCCTTTTAAAGTTGTTTTAAGCAAACATATATATTGAGCTTTATTTCATTTGTTGCCACAAAATACCTGGGGGAAATCCCAAGATGTCCTAACTTGCATCTCTGTTATGGGGTACTAATGGGAAATAACCCAATGGGAAAAATACCAATAAAGGAAAAAAGAGTACATCGACGCCCCCAAGATAAAGCAAAGGATAAAATCCCCGTCTTTTATTAAAATGGTCACCATATGCGAAGAGAATGGCTAGAAATGTTCTTCTCGTCGGGCACGGACTCATCAGGTTCGTCCTTTGTTTCCTTGAAGGCGGTAAATCCCTCAGTCCCTTACTCATTGAAGCGAGTGAAGTAGAGTTGTCTTTCTTCAGTTGTACCTACACATAAAAATAACAAGTGTAGAACAAGACATTTGACTTTGGTATCGAACCGCGACTCAGTGAGTAAGTGAGTCGGACTTAGTACCCGAAAAGTGTGGCATCAAGTTCCCAAGTTAGGCCTCAACATAGCCTCCGAAAGAAAGATTGAATCCGGGAGCGATGCTTCGAACGGATAATTTAACCCGCAAACAACTTACGTATATCAGCCCTTTCGGGAAATGTGAATGCTAATTAAATGACAAAATTGCTCGAAAGAGCGTGGCTCTAGGCCCCTAACAAGAGCTTAACTCGCTACTCGAGGTTAAAAGTTCAAACCCACAAGTGATAAATTTGAACGAGTGACTCATCCCCCGAGGACGGAGTGTGATGCACTAGGAAGAGGTAAGAGCATGCAAGAACTCGTATGGATCAAGAGTGTGCAATATTAACATTTACACTGGAGCTTATTAATCACCACACTCATATGACGAGACTCAATGGCAGGAGTGTGTGCTAGGCCAATGTACGTGAGTGATCGAGTTTCATAAGTCCATTTTTCAATGCTATAATTACACACACTTAACAAGAGCAAAAAACAATTATACCACTTATTTTTTTAATGTTTCAATTTATGATTTTTTAATCAAATTTATTTTTTATTAATGATGATATTAAATTGAGGAGTATACCTGGCTTTTCTATTGTTTGGAAGCTCACATCAAAAGAAAAACCAATTTAGATGGGCCTGGTCCTTAAGTAATGATGGAGTATATAAACTATGATCTCCTGATCTACCGATTATTGGGCCTGGACTGCGGCCCACATATATCATGCAGAGAACATTTATATTGTTAGACAATTTACACAGTCATTGCATATATTGGATTAACCTTTAATGCAATTAGGCCAATCAGGCCCACATTAGCGATTGACCCGCTATCTCTATATTGTAAACCCTACTCAAACTATTCACTCATTATACACATTATCTCCTTTTTTTCATTTCTTGTTCGTCTCTCCTAAAATTATACGTAGTAGGATATGAGTACTGATTATCCATTATGCTCTTGTTGATAGATTTAAACATAACCAAGTGAGATCCTCCCCAACAGACAAAAAATTCTTCCCCATCACAAAAATTGAACCAAGAAAGTGTTCTGGAAAATCACAAAAATACAGCGGATCTGGGACTTGGCAGACATGGCCGGAGCAACGTCACCCTGCAGCGGCTTCCCAGGTCGGTCGCCCCACTTCTGGTCTAGCACCTATGTCGCCGGCTAGCCACCATCGCCACAGATCTCCAACTTCTGGATCTGGAAAAGACAAGCTTTGCACGATAAGCTCCTCCACCGGTCATCGGCGTACAACGACGGTGCCTGCAGCTCGCTCTGGGCTCCACCAGCGTCGCAGCGCCACCGCTCTACATCGGCGTACAACGACTCCAGACGCCGGTTGCATCGGACTTCCCCGCCTCCCTGGCCAGCAAGTCGCAGCACCGCTGCTCTTTCTTAGGCGCCGCCCACTCCTCTCTGTTTGCCGACGGATCTGGACGAAGGTCGCTCCTTCTTCCTCAGCGACGACCTCGTTTTCCGCCCTTGCTAACGGCGACAGTAGGTAACGAGAGGCCAGTTCGACCAGGCCCGTGTCCCCTCCCGTTCCGCCGGCCGCAATGAGGATAGCTGGTTCCGCCGTGTGACCTGCCCACATCATTTGCAGAAGAGCCTGGGTCGAGGACTTCAGTTGACTCAGTCAACAATTAAAAGTCCCGCTGGATTCTTTGGGCTAAGGGGGAACTAGTGGGCCAGGCCATGTATGGTCAAACTCAATAGTTCAACAACCCTCAATTTCAGCGACATATTTCAGCCCAAGCAGTTCAATATTACAGCCCACTTCAAAAAGCTAAGTTCTCCAAACTATCCTATTTACACATTTAAATAGTACTCCCTCCGTTCTTTATTATTAGTCCTTCTTTCCTTTTTGGAACGTTTTTTTTTATCTGTCCTCCTTTCCATTTAAGGAAAGTTTTTATTTTAAATATACCTTTATACCCCCACTTTTATTACCATTACCCCTTTCTCTTTCCTACTTTTTCATTCACCCACTACTCATTACACTTTTTTACACTACCCCTACTACTTTACTCTTAAAACCCGTGCCAAAGCCTAAGGAGACTAATAAAAAAGAACGGAGGGAGTAGTAATAATAATAATAACAATAATAATAATATTGTTATTATTATCAATTTATTATTATTATTATTATTATTATTATTATTATTATTACCATTATTATGGAGTACTATTATTTTCATTATTATTATTATTAGTAGTATTATTAGTACTACTACTAATATTATTATTCCCTCCATCCCAAATTGATAGTCTCATTTCCTTTTTTGGAAAGAATGGTTCTCATCATTTCATCTTTTTCTACTCAAATATCAACAACAATTTTTACCTTTTCAACTACTTTTATTAAAACTTGTGACCAAAAGAAATGACTCTCATTTTGGGACGGAGGTAGTACTACTACTACGGTTGCTATTATTAATATCATTTTCATTCCCCTCGAGCAGACCAAAGTCCTTCGAGGTGGGGTGACAGTACGAGCCAAGCTTCGTGCTCCTCAGCACATTGCCCGATTATTTTTATTACTCCCCGTAACACTCATATCTTCTCACTTTCCCTTTTTAGCCGTAACATTCATATCTTCCCATTTATAAATTTTCTTATCATACCCTCAATAATTTAAAAATAATACACTATTACAACCACTTTTTTTAGATTTATCCTTCATTTCACCACATTATTTCATCATTTTGTTACCATATCCTCAATAATTTATATCCCCTTTCACTATTCTTAATCTGATCTACTTTCAAATGGGAAGATATATATCTGTTATGTAGGTAGTAAATGATTTGGGCTTGATTTGGGTCCCTCGACCTAGTCTCGGTGATCTTTATTTGATTACCGGGGCGCCTCCAAAAAGCCGTCACCCAGATGACGTACCGAGCCAAGCTTCGGGCCCTTCGACCCATCTTCAATTATTTTTATTAAATGATCCGAGCTTGCTTGAGGTCCCTCGACCTAGCCGAAAACAGTTTGGTTCGACCAAACTGAACCAAACCGAAAATTTGGAGTTTGGTTTGATTTCAATTCTCTAGAATCATCCGTCTGGTACTAATATTTACAACCGGAATGGTCGGGTCCGGTTTGGTTATAAACCGAAATATCAAATAAACCGAACAGTATGATTCATTGTGCGGGCAATCGGGTAAACTCACTTTGAAGCTCTCTCTCTCACTTAATTTCTTAAACTCCTCATAGCTTGAAATCTTGGGTGGACGGGTGGTCTTTGGATGCTTTTCCGGTAACGACAATCATCCCTTTCTTTTTTAATTGACCAGCACACTTTTTTATATAGTGCTAATAAAGTATAATTCCTCTTGGTGAATTCATAAAGTTTGATTTTCGTTGGGGTTATGAATCTCTGTTTTAATGAGTATATGAAGTAGCTAACTGCCTAACTTTAACCAATTCAGATATCTTCCATTTTGTTTTTCGGTCGTGGTATGATTCGGTGTGCGAATTTAGTGGGTTTGTTAAAAGTGGGTCTATGAAGTTTGGTTTATCACGTATCCTTAACGTTAGCTTATCAATTATTAATGTATCCCAATTTCATTGGAAGTTTAATATTTCCTCCTCCGATCCTTTATTAAGTTCCTGGTTTGATTTCACACATATTAAGAAAATAAATTTAACTTTACTGTGGAGTGCAGTGAACACTGTTTGACACTGTTTGTCACTGTTTGACATTGTTTTGACATTTTTTTGGTGTAAATCATTTGCCAAATAAGGAAAGGTTTGAAGTAGGAACTTTAATATAGACTATCCTAAAAAGGAAAGTAGGAACTTAATTACGGGACAAAGTGAATATACATTAGTGAGTTCCTTGTCATTTTAATTCAACTTGGGGGTTGCTTATGATACAAAGTATTAATTAAGCATTACAGGTGAGCACATCCATTGACCTAAACATAACAGGGGAGTGTTATGAGGCGGTATGTTTGACACAATTGGCAGAAAAGATACTTTTATGAGCTTTTTAATAAGTGTTAGCTTTTAGTGACTGAAAAAATATTAAAAAGAAAAGGTGGTAGCTGTTTAGTAAAAAACCGACTGTTTGATTTAGTTCGGTTGGGTATACATGCTGTTAGGACTAATTAATACGTACTAAGAGTCACAGACTTTTTTTAGATGCTACTTCATGTAGCATCTAAAAAAAGATCTTCTAATTTTTAAAAAGTTCTTAAACATTCTCATGTCAAACATAAAACTAGAGGCTTTTAGAGACTTTTTGGACAGTAAAAATGCTAGAAGGCAGAGACTTATGCCCGCCGAACATAGCCTAAGATTTCTTCTATAGTTCAATCATAGAACGGGGCCGGTCCAAGGGGAGTGTGGACAGCCCAATCACACAAGGCCCAAAAATTGAGGGCCCAACAAGAAAAATTAGTATTAGTATTACCAGTAGTCTACTACTATGTACTACTACGTATCTGTTAGTTAGCCCAATTAGTTAGGGTCTGTTTGCAACTGCTTCTGCTTTTAAAAAAGTGTTTTTTTTAATGAAATGAAGAGAAGTCATTAAATAAAAGTTGATAGTGTTTGAAAAAAAATGATTTTGAAAAGTAAAAGTGGGTAGTGTTTGGTAAAATAAGTGCTTTTTGTGTAATAGAAAAAGTAAAAGCACTTTTGACGCGAAAGTCGAGAAAAATAAAAATTGTAGTGTTTGGGAAAATAAGTGCTTTTTTAAAGTCAAAAGCTGAGAAGTGCTTTTTTAAAAGCGGTTGCAAACCAACCCTTAGCACAATAACAAATTAAAACAAAGGTATAGGAGTGAAGGAGGGCTGAAGGAGTGAATTGAAGTTGCGAAGGGGAGAGGCGAACTGTGAATCGACGAAGTGCGAAGGCCCAAGGGGCAAAAGGCTTATCAGCAGTGCAGTGCGGCGGTTGTCGGTGTATGCTGCGACGGTGCATGAACTCCGCTCCAGCCTCCAGTTCTTCACGTCTTCAGTTGAATTTCTTCACTTCTAAAAATCTCCCATCGGCGACTCCACTAGACCACTACTCCAGTCTCTAGGTAAGTCTTTCACTTCTCCTCAACTAATAAGTAATTAATAAACTGATACTCCCTCCGTCCCCTTTTAAATGGGACGGGAGATGGTGGCACGGGTTTTAAGAAAAATGAGTTTGTGTGGTTGATATTAATTGATAAAGTAAGAATAAAGTAAGAATGATTTTGAGCCACACAAAGTTTACCAAATAAGGTATGAGACAATTAAATAGGGACACCCCAATATGGTAAAACGGGACATTTAAAAGGGGACGGAGGGAGTAATTTATTAATGTTTTATCTTACATTCTTTTTCATTTTTAATTTGGACCATTTGTTAATTAACTAATTAGTTATCTGTAAACACTACTTATATGGTTGAGGCCAGACTGGCCATTTGATTAATTATTAGGTCTGTTGTTAATTTTCTTTAACAAATTGATATCGTTATATTATTGGATTGTTGCTTTTGCAATGGTTTACACTATAATACATTAATAAGTTTTATCGAAATTAATTTAGTTTTAGGGTTTACAATTTATACACCTTAAATACGCTCGAAAGATGTCTGTAAAAGAAGTGCATTCTGTAGACTAATACTCTTATTTTGACTATTTTGTTAATCAATATAGGGAGAATTTGACTTTGCACCCCACTTTTTGGATGATATTGGACTTTGCAACCCATTTTAAAAAAACTTTGATTTTGCAACCCATTTCACTTCAAAATCTTTTGACTTTGCACCCCATTCACAAATGTTATATGATAAGGTGCAAAATCAAAGGTTTTTTAAAATGGGGTGCAAAGTCCAATATCACCAAAAAAGTGGGGTGCAACTAGAATTCTCCCATCAATATATTATATTTTTATATTAATTATTAGTAATTTATCACTACTACTACCTCCGTAACGTAAATATCTTCCCACTTTCCTTTTTTGGACGTAACACTAATATCTTCCCATTTCTAAATCTTCCTGTCATACCCTCAATAATTTTAAAAATAATACACTATTACACCTACTTTTTTTGGATTTATCCTTCATTCCATCACATTATTTCACTATCTTTTCATCATACCCCTAATAATACATATCTACTTTCACTATTCTTAATCTACCTACTTTTAAAATGGGAACATTCCAATGTTACGGAGGTAGTATCATCTTTACATGTATTGAATTGGTACTCGTGTTAGAAAAAAACGTCCATTTTTTTTAATTTTTTTACTGGGCCTTCATAATCTCTGGATCGGCTCTGGTTCTATGGGATTGGTTACTTTCCTGCTTAGGCTACTAACGCCCACCCGACGACCTCCTAACACCCACCAAATGACCAGCCAACCCATGACCACCCAACCCACGACCACCAAACAATCACAAAGTTTGTGCTTCTATGTTTTATACTTTTATGTTAGTTTTATATCGTTTAGGCTTTTGAGAGTATGATTGAGAGTTGTAGTTTTACTAGTTCGTGACATGTGGAGCATTTCGGTTTTATTTTTATGTTTGTTTTTATATCATATACTCTCTCCATCCCAATATAAAAGACATATTCCTTTTGGGGCCGTCCCAATATAAAAGGCACATTTCCTTTTTTGGCAAACAAAACAGTGCAAAACAGTGTCAAACACTGTCCAAACAGTGTCAAACAGTGTCCAAACAGTATTCCTCCTAAAAATGTTTGAAAATAGCAAATGTGTTCTTTATATATTTACTTTGTTTTTGCAAGAGGCGAATTTGTTTTGGTTATTAAGTTAATCTCTATAGGATTGTATTTGGTACTATTTTGATCATTTAATTCTTTTTATATTGGTGGTTAAGTCTAACTACTATATTATCTTAGATCATATTAATGATTTTAGTTTTAGTGTATCTTGGTAACACCATTAAAAAAACACGATATTAATTGTTTTACCTAGGGGTCATTGCGATGTGGGTAATCCACCTCTGCAACTATCCCGATTGTCTCCATTTTTTGCACCATAGAGATCATTCTACCATTAAAAGGTTTGAAATGACACATTTTTTCCAATTGCTATAACGAGAGAGTAGTAATTGGTTCTATGCCTTTGTATTTATCCACGATCGCTGCTTGAGCCGTCATGGCCGCATGGATAGAACATGCGGAGCATGTTTTTGTATTAAAAATAATGACAAACTACTTTTACAAAGTGCAGATTTTCAATTTTACACAAAAAATTGAGATATAACAACACAATTGTAAAAATGAATGACACATACATGTCATTAAGAAGTGAAATTTAGAATGATGCAATTACAAACATATCAAGAGGCCCTAATATCAATAGGGTGCTGAAATGAGAAGTACAGTGACGGGAAGGATAGGGAAAATGTTACAATCTTACAAATATTAGGGCCTCTTGATGTGTGTATAATTGCATCATTTTCAACTTCATTTCTTGATGCGTGTATCTTCATTTCTACAGTTTTTTGAGGGAGACAACCTTGGATTTATTCACATAAATTTGTAAAAGAGGATGGGAGGACCATGCATCTCATCTCTCAAATGTGATCGATCAATCATGTGAAAGTATTGGTTAGTTTTAATTTTTAAGAGATGATACCACTACAAGCATGATCAATAATGTTGTTATATCCCCAATTATTTGTGTAAAATTGAAATATGCACTTTATAATGACAGTTTGCCATTATTTTTAATGCAAAAACATGTTCCACATTTTCTATCCACGTGACCATGACGGCTCAATCAGTGATCATGACCTTATATGAAGGCATAGAACTAATTCCTTCTCTCTCGTTGGAGCAATTGGAAGAAATGTTCCATTTCAAACCTCTAAATGGTAGATTGATTTCAATGTTGCAAGAAATAGAAACAATCGGGATAGTCGTAGAGGTGGATTACCCATGTCGCGACGACTCCGATGTAAAACAATTAACATCATGTTTTTTGTTTTTTATGCCATCATCATGTTACATTAAAACTAAGTATCATTTATATGACCTAGAGATAATATAATAGTTTGACTTGACTACCAATATTAAAAAAGTTTAATGACCAAAATAGTACTCCCTCCGTCCCAATTTGATGATCCTATTTCTTTTGGGCTCAAAGATTAAGGAAGTGGTTGAAAATGTAAAAGTTGAGGTTGAGATTTGAGTAGAAAAAAGTGAAATGATATGGACCACATATTTCTTTCCAAAAAAGGAAATGAGACTATCAATTTGGGACGGCCCAGAAAGGAAATACGGGATCATCAAATTGGGACGGAGGGGAGTATCAAATATAATGCTAATGAGACTAATTTAATATTCAAAACAAGTTTACGTCTTGAAAAAAAAGTGATTATAAAGCTTAAAAACAAACCTAGAATAAAACTGAGGTGCTGCACTCACTATCACTAACTAGTAAAACAAAAAAGATTAACATACATAAAACTCCAAATCATATTCCCAAAACTCTACAATATAAAACCTAGAAGCACATACCCTTAGTGATTGCTGGGTGGTCCTGGGTTGGGCACTGGGTAATCGTTTGATTGGTGTTGGTTGCCTAAGCAGGAAAGCAACCAATCCCATAGATTGGGAGAGATCCAATCTAGATAGCCATCAGCGGCCGAATGAGATCTAGAGATGGCAATTTCGACCGACCCGTTGGATATCCGCACCGAACCAATTTGGTTAAATTGAGGAAAACCGGTTTGACTGGGGAATGGGTACGGGGCGGGGAATACTCGAATTTTTTAAATGTTTAATGGTGCGGTTATGGTTCTATACTAATCCACCCCGTTATCCGCCCCGAAACCGCCCCGTTCACTAGTGGTGCGGGTACCCGCACCGTTACCCGATCGATAACATTATTAATAAATTATAACTTTTTATATATAAGAATAATAACTATATATGCTAAATTGTGTATAATAAATAGTATATATCACATAAATAATGCTAAAAAGTATACTACTTTTTTAGGCCTAAAACTAAATATAGGCCTAAACCTATTTTTGAAATTTGGATTCTGGGACGATTACTACTTTTTTATTATGTTACAAGAGATATTGAGTGCATGTCATACTAATGAATTTAGGTCAGTCTGTTTGATTGCTCAAATGTTTATTTTTGTATGTTTTAGGGTGCTTTGAATAACAATTAGGATTAAAATTGGTTATTTGTTTTCCCAAAAAAAGTTGGTTATTTGGTATCATTTGGGGAAACGTTTACCCGTGGATAAACCGATTCCCCGTTGGGGCGGGTACGGTTCAAATAAAAATTACCCGAATGGATAATGGGACGGTTTTGGGGCAAACATTTATCCAACGGGGCGGTTCTGGTTTTATGTGTACCCGTCCCCGATCCGCCCCGTTGCCATCACTAATGAGATCTACATATTAATCTTGAGGATCAACTTGATCTTGGGGAAAAATGAAAAGGAAGGTGTTACTGTGATCCTGATCAAAGTGATGAAATTGCCAAATCTATGGTCTGAGCTGAAAGAACAAAAGTGTTTTCATTATATTTGTAATTTGCATCAAACACCAAGTGTCAGCATCGGCAAATCAGCAACATCTGTATGGTCAAACTTAGTCAACATTAACATACCTACTTGTAAGCATGAAGTTATAAGAATGGTCTTATTTTAATTAGAACTTTACTTTTGTTGAAGGGGATAATATCTTTTGATTCAACATAACTTAAAAGGGCACGTGAATGGTCTTCTTTGAGCCCAAACACCACGACGCTATGGGATTAACCTACATTACACAAATGAATGCTCTCATTACATTTTCCTAAACAATTAGTATATACGTGAGGATTAGAGGATGTACTTTCGTGGGTTCCTCACGTAAATACTGATTGTTTTGGAAAACGCAATGAGAGTATTCCTTTGTGTGGTGTGTGTTAATCCCATAGCGCCGTGGGTGTTTGGGCTCAAAGAAGACCATTCATGTACCCTTTTAAGGTATGTTGAATCAAAGGATATTATTCCTCTTAAGAAAAGTAAAAGTTCTAGTTAAAAATAAAACTATTCTTATTATTTCACGCTTTT